TTTGATTACTTCATATTATTTATTTCCACTACAACATTGTTTCGTATGGTTGGCAGAGTCAACCACACTCATCATGCAGATATGTACAACTGATGTTACTATAAGGAAAACATTTGGACATTAAAAGATACCAAGATGCAATATACCATAAAATGAAGAATGCAATTTATGCCTGCATGGAATGTTTCTTATTATTTGTCATCCTGAGTTAAGTTCTCAACTGCAGAAATGAATTAATATTTACTTGTAGGCATAGGAGGAAATTTCTCCTAACAAACCAATGATTGCTAATTCATTGATAAACAATCTACAATCTAGACAATAGGCCCATTTAATCACTGCTAATCTGCTTGTTAATAATATGCAAGTTTTCTTTGAAATAATGTCAGTTGTACACATCCGCCTGATGAGTGTGGTTGAGACTGCCTACAATACAAAACAATGTTGTAGTGGAAATAAATAATATGAAGTGAAAACTCATATGAAGTAATCATGTTTTGCCTTTAGCAAAACTTGTTTTGTATTTAGCTCTACCCCGGTACCCATTCTCATTCAACTTTTATGATTTTTATAAATGTATTTTAACTGTAGGTTTTGTAAATTATTATGAAGACAGTACAGTATAATACTTAATAATGGACATGTTTTATTTTAATTGCTGTTTTTAGTAAGAATAATAGAATGCAAAAAATACTGAGCTAAATTTATCTTGAAAATGATTATTTTTTATGTAATTATCATTTTTCTGAGGCTTTCAATTTTTATTTGTGAAGTAAAGAAAAGTGTCCTGATCTCCCCCTTCCCTCGTTTTTCATCCTCTCCTTTTCCACCAAACCATTTGTCAGACACAGCTGATTTAGTGTTAGCGCGAATGAACTGGTACTGGCAACAAAAATACAGTATTAGAAAGATTGATTCCAAATTTGTTTAGGAATGTGTATTATGGAAAATATGCAGTGATCAGGGGTAGATCCAGAGAAAAGTTTTGGTCAGGAGGGGGAGGGGGTAGTGTAGGGGATGCACGAAGCACCAACCTAGGGGACAGGGGGTATGGTGCTTGAGTTTTTGGTAAGGAAGCTTCACCAAAGAATCTGTCTTCATCCTTTTCCAGGATCCGCCCCTGGTGGCTTCCAATGCAGTTTGGTAGCAGGCTGCTGTAGTTTATTAACCTCTCAAATGTAATACAGTAGTATAAAGTACATAATCCTTCTACTGTCAACCATTGTTCTCTTGAGGCCTATAACCTAGATTCCTTAGGCGAGACTTTTGTTATACCTTGTTTAACAAACCCGCAGCACGCCAATAATGATTTTGAATAAAAAATAAAATTTAGTTTTTTGACAATTAATACACCCGCCACCACAAATAAATGGATATTTCAGAAAAGTTCTGTATTTTTATAATGCCCACCACTGCCTTGAAATCAATAAAAATAAGATATGTATATTTCTTCCTAATTATATAAATTTAAAACATTTAACCATCCTAACCTACGCTGTTTACATTCACTAATAACATTTTAAT